TCCTCATCATCCTAGATGGAATGGTGTTTATAACTGCTCCATTGTCGACAAGCACTTTTGCCACTGGGACACCGTTAACTAGAGTTTTAACGTATAATGACCTCAAGTGTTTGGTCAATTTCATGGCTGACCGTTTAAAAATAACTTTTTCGGCAGTCTCTATTTCTACTTCCTGCTTGTTTTCTGTCGAATTATCCCCCTGTGATAAGTCGACGTGCAGTATATCACGCTGATCCTCCGTCTCCTGAACTTCCTTCCTACTCTTTCTAATGCTTCCTCATCAGTTATCCAACCTGTAGGAGGGGGCATTATTCTTGGGGGTGACCCATATTTTTCAGAGCGAGGCACTCTCTTCTTCTTTTTGGGTGTCCCGTACAGTACGTAGAAATCGAAAGAACGCCCAGATGATTCCCCCAACAAGTCTACTTCGCGAACTCCCTCTTGACGTAGTTGCTTAAACAGAGTATTGCGCGATACTCCTCTCTTTTTTCTTTCTGCTTCTAGATCAATTTCTTCTTCAATGTCTGTCATCCCATCGTCTTCCTCGTCGTTGTAGGCCTCTCTAGAAGTCTGGCCTTCTTCACATACCAACACGCAAGCTTCTCCTTCGTTGTTCTCCCTCTCTTCTTCCTTTTCCTTATTCTTGAATTCATTGGCCAGTAGGTAATTATTGGCCACGATAGGAGACAACGTACCGAATTGGATAGCAAGGGGCTGATCTGGATCTTCTTCATCCCTTTTGTCTCTCTCAAACCTTGATCTCCCAGAAGAGGTTTTTGGCAGTTCCTTCATTGATTCATCTGTACCGGTCTCTTTACTACCTTTGAGGATGTTTTGATTGGCTACCTCGAGTAGTTTAGGCGCTTTAGGATGTGGCACTCCCTGTTGCTGCCTCATCATCCGTCCGTAGTTTCGTTGGAAATGCCTTTGTTGTGTCCTAGTCATCTCATCGAAGGGTATTACCCTTCCTGCATTGTACTGGTTTGGATGCCATACATTTGGCCAGCGAGGTTGCGGCCTGAATGTTCTTCCATTCTCTGCTGGCCTGAACTGCCTCTCAAAAGGCGGTCCTCTATAGAATGATATACCTAGCCCTCTACCAGGCTAAGTGTTTGGAAAGAAGGTAGGGCAATAAGGATGCTGCCATGTCCCTAATTTCTCCGTATTTCCATTCACTTCTCTTTTACACCTTACACACAGGACGTCTTCGTCCTTTTTTGGTTCTTTCCCCTTGATTCGTTCAAAGACGCTGGGATGTGGTCTAGGATCTTCTTCTCCTTCATCTATGACCAACTTGAATTTTGGCAACTTGTTCTTAAATCCAGATGTCACCATGTTTATTCCAAGTGGCTGTGGGAAAGGATTCTCGCCCACTGCCATCTTTTTCTTATCATCGAACGTAATTCGTCCTGATTCAATGGCATCCTGCAATACATGGCAGAAAATCAAGCAATTGTTAGTCAAATGTGACCATACATTATGCCACTTACAATATTTTTTACCCTTAATTTGTTCAGGGTTTGGCAATTTGTGCTTATCGCTCAACTTTATCTGCTTATCCCTATATAATTTATCGAATAAAAGGTCAGCTTTGGTCACGTCGAACGAGAACGTTCTAGCCTTTATGTTTCCATCTTTTTTGGGCTCATCTTTGCCCGATGGTCTAGGCTTGACCATTATGGGACAAGTATATGTATCCCCTTTGACCAATTCGGCCAAACACATTTCGACCTGATCGTATGACTCGTCGTCGATAGTATGAACGTCAAAATTTGGGTCTTTGTAATAAGTCCCTTTACTAGAATTTTTCATTTGTTCTTCCTCTCTTATCAGCCGCTCATACCTAATCACGTTTGCACTCAACTGGAAAAGGTCAGGAAATTCCTTGTCTTGGAACTTCTTTTTTAAATCAAATCTCAAACAGCCCTGAGCGATCTTGACAAATTCTTTTTCGGGCAGAGGTACAAAACACTTGCTTCTTGCTGTCTTGAACCTTTGGAGAAAACTTTCTGCCCATTCGTTTGGCATTTGACGTAGGTTCGCCAAATCAGCCAAAGTGACTTCAGACTCAGTTTTATAAAATTGAGCGTGAAACAACTGTTCCAATTGTTGCCATATTTGAACAGAGTTCGCTGGCAAGTTAATGAATCAGGAGAAAGCTACTCCTGTCAACGAACTAGGGAAAAGTCTCATTTTATGGTAATCGGTTACATCACCACTTTGCAATGTGAATCGCCCTATGTGTTCTAGAGTAGACACCTCTCCTAAACCGGTAAACAGTGAGAATTCTGGCACTTTGTACCCTCTAGGCCATAGATATGCTTGGTCTACTCAATCAGGATATGGCTTTGTGTACGTTGGCCTAATGACGGGACGCACCCCAAAAGCCATCTGATCCTATACGATTTCCATAATCTGGTTCCTCAACATGACATTGGGATCATATGAATTTCCTACAAGTTGATTAACCGGTTGATTTGCATGAGGCCTGATTTTTGGTCCTTGATTGGCAACAAAATTACCATAATTAGGGCCATTACCATTAGCCTGAACATCTGTTCCCTCATTAACACGTGGGGTATTCTGTCCATTGTTTAGGACATTATCTCTCACGTTTGAATTACCCCCCAAGTTAGGCATACTACTACCATTGTTCTGATTTGGCACTGTAGTACCCCCTTGGTTTGAAGTAGAGGGACCAGAAAGCGGCTCTTACCCTTGATTCAGATTTAGGACCAAGGGATTATGTCCCACAATTGTCCTAGTTTGAAAGTGGTTTGTAAGAGGTATAGCCGGTTGACATATTTGGCCCACTAACTTGTTCATTGTTTCATTCAACGTCTTTAGTTGTTTGGCCATGTTGTCATAGTGTACATTCCCATTTTGGGTAAATCTTTCCATATTATGAATACTTCGAAGATTTACCTGTTCAACAACATCTTGTGTTTCAACGACGTCTTGCGTGAGTTCTCCAAGTAATGCACGTATGGTTCGAAGACTTAACCCCGTCATTGGTTCGTAACGACTGTTACTGCTCTGGTTCTGTCCATCTGTTCGTGGAGAGGCATGCTGCTCCTCATATCGCTGGATCACAGACTGGATTCCTCCCTGACTTGCTGCTTCCTTATCGGATCTCTAAGGCATATTGTTTCACCTTTTGTACTTTCAACACCTAACACCACTATCCCACTGGGCGTGCAAAATTGTTTCGCGCGGGTTATTCGCTAACAATTAAAAAGGATCAGACGATTATGTAAGGGACAAAACCTCTTGACACAAAGTCCCAAAAAGGGGTGTTCTTTTATTGGCGATGACTTTACAATTGGGAATGAAAAACAACGTGCCTCCAAGGGGCGCAAGCACACGAGTTACTGAAAGAAAAGAGTTTAAGTCTAAAAATTAAGAAAATGAAAATTACATGTTCTCTGTTCGAGAGTTTTGGATTCGATCATTTGCTTCTATGTCCTTTCTCCCTTTTATACTTCATAGACGATCTCTTTGTGATCAACCGCTCTAAAAACTGCTTGATCGTCCTATAACTGCCCACTTTTTTCGTAATGGCCAACTTATCATGAAAACTGCATTTTTTAACTACTGCCATTACTTTTCATCGTTCAACCGCTTTCGATTGAATTCCTTGATTCGTGGAACGTGATAGGGCTGCTTTAATAACTGTTTTGATAACTGCACTTCTTGATAACCACGATACTTTATGTTTGTTAAGACTTTGGGCGACTTGAAGGTTTGGGCGAGAATAGAGTAACAGCTCTGGGCGACTGTATAACACTTCATTCGCTCAGATTCTGGACGACTTGCAAACTTGGGCGATGGCGCTACCGCGTTCTTGGGCCTCCTTATTTGTTCGATTGGATTTCGTTTTTTGGACTATCTGATTTGGAGATCCTCCAATTGGACTTCACTCCTTGGACTGTTCGATTTGGGCTGAATTTTTATGTGTGAACATTTATATCAATACATAAGAATTACAAATAAAATATCAAACTATTATGAATGTCCTTGAGGTAAGTGAGCAAAAATAAATAAATAAATAAATAAAAATGAAAAGAAAAAAGGAAAGTCGTGAATGTTTATATTTCTAGGTCATTCACGACATAATAATCAAAGAAGAAAAATACGCTTCACTTTTGTACAGAACTCCTTTATGTTGTCATTAATATGAAACTTCAAAAGTTAAATGATTAATTATCATATGTAAATAACAACTTGCTCATTTTGTGTTGCACGTTCCCGTCTGAACAATTCGGTTTCTTTTGTCGCTGAGAAGAAAGTATACTGATGGTGTGAATTTTATCATGAGATTTTAATCAATAAAGATCTTGATATTTGATTATATATATAAGTGTACCCATTACATGAGAGTTGAGATTTATTGTCCATTTTTATTGTTCATCTAATTAATTCTTGACACATCATTAATTTGACAAATTAGTAGTAAAGTTAACGAGGGTAAATTTGAAATAACATATTAATTATTGATAACATATCAATAATTAATTGAATTAACAGTAAAATGGACAGCAAAATTGAATAGCATCTCGACTTGTTGCATGAAGGAATGTAACACCAACATGAGTTCTTCCCGTTGCTACTACAACATATAAGTTTTTATATTAAACCCTGTTTGGTATCTATTCTTTCCTCATTAAAATGAAAAATAAGACTGTTATCCACATCAAATCACCAAATTTGAATTTTTATCTCTTGTGTGAGTCCATAACGATTATATTTTTTATTTTCATTTTTCTAAAAATGATAAACAAACAGGGGCTAATTATATTGACGAAGTTAAATTTGTTAATATTAATAACTGTGTAACTATACGATTTTTTAACGAAGCTTCGAGATCGAGGGTAAGTGGATGACATGGCTTCCTCTGATTGGATTGCTAACTGCAAGCAAGGTACGTTTGTTTCCCGTGTCTTCCAGAAACTTTACATTACATCTCTCTAGAAACTCGTAGCATTTCCCTTTCAAGCAAAACCTGCACACGAGAATTATCCAGAAACCTCTCCAATCTATAAATTCCACTCCTCCCGTAATTTTCATGAGTGCAGCACGAAACATTTCTTCCAGTTCTCATTTTACGGCATCAATTCTCCATACTTCTGCATACGAATATTCCTTTGCTTCTTTTTGTTCCTCAGAAGATGGATCATAGAGGAAAATGGATTGTTCTGAGCCTTGTTTTACTGTCATTCCAAGCACACGCTTTCGTTCCCTACGGCCACTCCTTGTGGGACATAATGTTACCTCAAGAGGACCCTTTCAAGATCCTTGAACACTCTCCAGTCACGGTTCCAAAAGGTGCCATTGATCATCAGTCCCTCGCGCTGGCACGCACAGACTGGAAAGAAACACCAGTAGCCCATATAATCTCCCTCGACATTCCCGGCATGAAGAAGGAGGATGTCAAGATTGAGATTGAAGAGAATAGGGTGCTGAGAGTTAGCGGTGAGAGGAAGACGGAGGAGGAAGCGAAAGATGAGAAGTGGCACAGGGCGGAGAGGACCACCGGGAAGTTCTGGAGGCAGTTTAGACTGCCGATGAATGCCGATTTGGATAAAGTGAAGGCGCAGTTGGAGAATGGAGTGTTGAGGATTACTGTTCCTAAATTGGCTGAGGAAAAGAGAAGGGAGCCTAAAGTGATCAGCATTGTGGAGGCTGGTGGTTCCGGCGAAGACATAAAGGCCACCGAGGCTGAAATCAAGAGCTGAAACTTTTTATCAGAAAGTCACAGTTTTCAATTGTGTCACTTAATTGTCACTTGTGAGCCCAGACCCTAATTTTCTTTGGTTGTGTGGTCGATGTGTTTCATTTGTTATCATTCATGCTTATGTATAATCATATGAAAGTATAAAACTCTATGTGATTTCGTATGTACTTGAAAATAATGAACTTACTATGGAGTGCAAATTTTCTTGATATCATTGGGGATCAGATTCATCGCTCCTTGTCCCTATTATTTACATGGCTTCTCTGTACATCAAGGATATGAACTTTACAGGCTTAAATAATTACATTATATCGCTTAGAATGTGAGTTATAGAGCATCATCCTCAAAAGCTGTTTTCTGCTGAACGGGAAATACATCCAAACAGCCTAAATGGTTGGAAGATTTTTGAAAATAAATTAAGAAATGAAAATATTTGAAAAATAGTCTTTAAACAATCATCTTTTCAAAAATCTCTTATAGAAAAATTGTAATTAAAATAAAAATTTTTAAATAGGTCCTCAAGAAAATATAGATTAAAAATTTTTAATTAATTTAAACTCAAATATTATAAAAAAATTTATTGATTTAAGAAATACAACAGAAAGTGAATTAAATTATTTAGAAGAAAAATTAAAAGGATTCTTCATAGAATATTTAGATTCAAAATAAAAAAATAAAAACGTTTCTATAGATAATAATACAATCAAAATAGAAAATGATATATATAAATTAATTCTTAATCTGAGAAGAAGAATTAAAAAATTAAATAAAATCATTATAGAAAAAGTATTAATAAAAGATAGTGAATTTTATAAATTTTATTGTGACATTTTAGATACTTATAAAGATTTTAATTGGCTTAAAAATATTAACCCCTTCGCTGCACACTTCGATGAGATGGTATCAGAGCCATGTTTCGAACTAAAAATTATGATGAATATAGTAGATGAAGAAAATATAGTTGAAGAATTTTTGAAAAAAGTTGAAAAACATAAAAAACCTAGTTATCCTTATTTGCCTTAAAACACCACAAATGAAAATTTTGGAGATATACATAAAAGATTAGAAAATTTAGAACATAATCTACAAATAAAAAATGCTCTTTTAGATAAAAGTTTTAAGGGAAAAGATATGATTATAATTAATCCACCTCAAGATTTTAGGATAACACAAAAAGAAAAAAATAAAGGGAAAAAACATGAAGAAAAACAATATATGATAACAGATGTAGAAGAAATAGAACAAAAATTCTTAGAATCTACAGGAGAAGAGTATGAAGAATATAAAAAACAGTTAGAAAAATTAACTGAAAAAACGGAAAATATAAAGATGAATACTAATCCATCTTCAAGTCAGAATATAAAAGTAGAATTTAGTGATGAAGAATAAGATTATTCTTATGGTACTACAATACCACTTAAGGATGTTATTAACTAATATAAAAAACACAGAAAAGATACACTAAAAATGTAAGAAAACAATCCATAAAAGAAATAAATTCAATGAAATCCTATAATGAACCAATCCACACAACAGGAGTATGGTTAGATTTAGACTGTGTAGATAAAAATAAGGCTATTAAAATATGGATGAAAAGTACAGATCTAGCAATACAATTTAATAAATGAGAAACATATACAGCTTTTAAATTTATAGAACATACATTCAGAGGAATTGTTTCTGAATGGTGGAGAAAATTACCAGAAACTATTAAATGAAGGATAAAATATGGAACAAATAGAACTGAGGTATTAGATAATAGAAATACTCTAAATAAACAAAATATACAGGAGATATTAAAAAGATTTGAAAAAGTCTTAAGAACAGAATTTTTAAGAAATATGTATACTTCTAATGAAGAAAAAAGAAAACAAGATGAATATAACCAAGGAATGATAGCAATGGAAAATCTAAAGATATGTGATATGTGTGAATTAGAAAGATATACTTGTAAATTTGAAGAATTATACTATATACTTAATCAAGGAGATTATCAAGAAAATAAACCTATATTAAGATCTTATTTTATAAAGTTACCATTCCCATGGGGAATTAAGCTATTAAAAGAATATGAGAAATTATTACCTCTAGGAGAAGAGGAAGTAGTTAAAATAGATAGTTTTGGAAATAGAATTGAATTTACAAGAAGAATGATAGGTATGTGGTGCAGAGAAGCACTAGAAAATAAAAAGGCTTATAAAATAAGAAAGAATTCATTATGTTGTTATAAAGATAATGACCAAATTGAACAATTTGGATGCCATAAGAAAAAATATAAACCATATAAGAAATATAAAAGAAAATTCAAAAATTATAAAAAATTCAATAAAAGGAATTTTAAACC